AGGTGAGAAGCGGCTCACAATGCCTTACATCAGTGGTTGGGTCCTTGTGTGTCGGTTTTCCCCATGTTTTTCCTACTCTCTGTGGGTCTGTGTGAGCACCTTCAAGAAGTGCTAAACAGTCGGTGGTTCAACTTGGGTGTTTGAAATGCCGGCAGGACTCTTAGGGGGACTGCTATGCTTGTGATGTCTATGGTGCACATGGTCTATGGGTGATGATGGATGACCGTCAGAGTCGCTTACTGGCTCAGCAGGTAGTGGGAACCAACACTCTAAGAGGTTCATTTGTGAAGTGAGAAGGTGATGTGCCGCTTTGCTCCGTGTTGGATGTGTAGACTGACTGACTCGTCTGCGCTCTGCTGTTGCTTTGCCGTGCTGCCTGCCCCGCTTGSTTCACAGGTAGCTCTTTGCAGCTGCTGTGTTTGCTGTGTGGTGTGGCTGCATTGTTGTTGTTGCCTTGTGCTTCACKGTGTGGCGGTCTTGCTGCCCATCTGCATGTCTTGCCTTCCGCACTCTTTGCTTGTGTGCAGTGTAGTTTTGTTGCTTATTGGTGTTGCCTTGTGCTTGGCTGCACTGTTGCCATGCTGCTTGTCCTCTTGCACTGTCAATCATGCAGATCGTATGAATGTGTTGTTCAGTTGGGTTGGTCCGGCACCGTTGCCTGGTGCTTCGCTGAGTTGTTGCCTGCTGCKGTGTTCCGCTTGTGGACAGTCTGCTTTCAACAAGGGTGAAAGGGTTCATGACCCAAATCATCAATACTGGGATTCCTCAGATTGTCAATCTTTCAGCCTCCTGATGAGCAGGTCGAACTTGGACATTGTTTTGGGACTTGTTAAAATAAAAATAAATTAAAAAAAAAAAAAAAAACAGGCCGGGTGGATGCGAGGGGTGCTTGGTAAGGGCAAGCACCACTAGCACTCCCAGGGGGGSTCCCCCATCTACTGGTGGGGAGCAGCGGAACCAGCATCCCTGGACGTTGTAGTTTTTTACTTGAACAGACTTGAAAGTGTAATGAGTGGAAGCTGCRGAGCTTACCTAAACATAATGAAATTTGGCAAATAAAGCTCTACACGGCTGACAAAGTTTTCTGCCTACATGACAGCTTAGGGGGCTCAGAGGTGATAGTATACACAGATCTCAATGGTTACTACTGCTACTAGGAGGGTTTGGAAACAGTTYCTAAACTATGTTGTGAAAACTACACCCCTAACCCTCCCTGCAAACTGCCTCTGTTGTCGTTGTTGTTTGTTTGAAAAGACTTGTATTTGTAATGACAGCATGGTGCTGGGCCCACCTATAAAAAAATGAYGCCCGGTCATTATAGCTGTATTTGGCCCAACTTTCAGCCCAGATATGGCGATAATTACCGGGCGTTTTATTCGGGTGAAGACCGTAGTGGGAGGATTGAGACAGATTGACTGTTGTGCTTCCCCCGCTCACTCATTTGGCAATAAGTCTCGGAGTCTGGTGCCATCACTTTACGTATATAGAACTTCCAGTTCAAGTAGGAAAGCTATCCTTCTTTTCCACTACCCACGGGTGTTAGAGCTGAAGTATAGGCATAGGACTATCCTTCTTTAGTCCCTACAGTCCGCTCCCGAATAATAGCGCCTTTTCAACCTGACATGCMTTMAAGTTTTAAATGGGATAATTGGTGGCAAGTGCCAACGCGGAAACCTGTTYGGTTTTGGGCGCCCAAAGTTTGCCCATTTGGTACTACCGGCCCAAACAACKTCCGCCTGGGTGAAAGGCGCCTTCGCGAYGTGGCCAGAGATCCGTTGGCTTGTTTTTACTGGACAATGAATCTGGGGCAGCTGTTTCTGGGCCAGATTCATGAACTGGTAGGGCCACTGTTTTTCAAGATACCGTACTTGGGCCTCGTTCTATGCATTAGGGGTACCACCCTCGGCCTCTTACATGGAAATGATTCATGATCCTGCAGGGCCCTTGGAGTGACACCTGGTCCAGTAGTACCCCACATGGAAAGGTTTGGGCATGTAGTACCAATCGGYGAACTTCACACACAGAAAACCGAAAAAAGGTTTTGGCGTGGGCACTTTCCGCCAATTATCCCTTTTTAAATTACAACGGTGCCATGCTTGTAGCACCTTTTTGAACTTGCCGTGTTTGCTTTGCCCATCCGCAACTCCATAATGACTGAAACGGACTTATGGTAACTTACCCCTAAGTTCCCTAACATGTTCTTAATGTACTTACAGGAACTTACGGTAACTTACCCCTAACATGTTTTTAACGTACTTATGGCAACTTACGGTAACTTACCCCTAACATGTTTTTACAAACTAACCTTTGTCACCCTTTGACATAGTTTGCAGTCCCCGCGTGTGAACCAGATGTGGTAGTACCATTCCGGCAGTAGTTAGTGCTGCGGTAATACAGACATCGTCCTGGTCCGTGGGAGTAGTGCTTACTGGCCGACTTCGCATTGAAGACATTTTCTGGGAGTGCGGCGTCTTGCCGAGTGAGTAGGCAGTTGCATAAATAGATGCTGCTTGGCGGCCAAAAAATGTCAGTAGAAATTATCTGAAAAAGAAAAGGCAAAAAAAGGCCRYTGTCAGCTGGGGGGGGACAGGTTGTTGAATCAAGTTTTACCCTTTCTTTCATCMCCACAAGTACATTACATGTAATGCATGAATTTATGAAGGCCACAAAGTGCGAGAGGCAGAATTCAGACCAAATAAGTTTTGAAAGCTCTTTCGCCACAGCCTTCCCCTCTCAGCTTCTGTTCTCCCTCCCACGTGCCCCTGGCCTCATCCCCATATCTCCTCCTCCCTCCCCCCTTAACCCAGCTTCTGTTTCTATCACTCTTTAGATTATATAATAGCCATCTTCATCTTTACATGAAAAAAAGAGAAACAACCGCGGCGGGTTTTGAGTTCGCAAAGGCAAAAAAAAACACGTCCCCGCAAAGATATCATGGCGTGAATTGGTCTTGAGTTCGTAAAGGGAAARAAAAACACGCGGCCACAAAGATATCAAGGCATGAGTTTGAAGCGGCAGTTTGCATAGAAAACAATCCGTTGGGCTTTTTTTTTTCCTCCCACTGCTCCCAGTCTGACACCACGGCCTACCGCTTTAGTTATCGCCGTTGGTACTTTCATTGCTTTTTCGAACTGGCCGCCTGTTTTTTTGCCAGGGCATGTTTGTTTCCAATTGCTCATTAGATACTCAGGGGCTCGCCACACCACTATCGAATCGCATTTTTTTTCGATAGGTGTCAGAAAAAATTCGATAGTCCGGCATTCGATAGAAAACCCCCCTTTCGCCAGACTGCACTATAGAATCGTTGGGGTATCGAATGTTTTCCGTTCTGGGTCCGCTTTCGACTGTCTGTCGTTTGTGTGCGGGTCCTGTCGTCTAGCGCGTGTGTGGGCGGTTTTTCGATAGTCCGGAATGTGGGCTATCGAAGAGAAGGCTATTRCAGGCGGACGTGCACATTTCSTTCGATAGGGCTATCGAATTCCCATGTCTGACACCTATCAAAGAATTTCAAAGCTGTAATTTTCGATAGGCTGTGTGGCGATGCGAAACTCACGAAAATTCATGTTTCGATAGTGGCGTGGCGAGCCCCTCAAAAGTGACATCAACGTACTTGCCCCAGAACAAAAGCGAGCAAATTAATTTTGTCTCCTTCTCTGCTCTTTTTTTCTTTGAACTCGTACATGATTGGTTTCATACCCTTATATTGTCAACCATGCCACACACTCTCATTGCCTTGAAAATCCTTCTTTTTTCTCATCTGTTCCCTC